AACCACTCTGCTCTTTCTATTTCTTTCTCGTACGAAAATGAAGTGAAAAATTCCTCTGTTGACGTCATTTTTTACCGAAAAACTTTGAATCGACATGGAGGAGTCAAGACATAAACGAGTCGATGCGCAAAGGAGTGTCAAGGTTTGTATAACTTAATATGACTTGCAAATACTCTGCAAAACACACAGCCGCATTTCAGGTATTCATGAATGCGAGTACTCTTCACCAAAAGATCTGCAGTGAGGGTGAAAACAGAGACTGAAACTTTGGCGAGGCACAAAAAAAATCCACGCTTTCGGCTCCTTGTGCCTACGCGAGCAACGATTCCAGATTTAAACAAACCTAATGACTGTTTTGCAGTTTAACGTGTAAACAGCTTTTTAGAACACTAAAATACAGGCCACTTAGCCAAAGGGCATCTAAAGTAAAGTATGTCATAATATTTGTTCACGAGCAGCGATCCGAAAAAGTTCAAATTAACTTTTGGAGTCGTAATTAACGTTTGTCATAAGGCATTGAAGAATGATGTGAATTAAGTAGAGCCCCCGGGTAGTGAAGCATTATTCCGTGAATTCCAAGGTCACTGCTTGTACTTTGTGAGGAGCTGAGAACCTGCAACCCGAAGATTGTTCAAGACCACGCTCTGCTGCATTTGGCCACCCCGGTCTACATGAAGACTAGGCATAAAAAAGCCCCAGGCTATCCAGCCTCTAGAAAACAAAGATGTGCGAAGGCTTTACCGCGAGGGGTGTTGTTACTATCCGCTCTCTTGCAGTCGACTGCGGGTGGAAACAATTTGTTACCTTCTATCATAAAACAGCTTTCGACATTCCAGGAGCAAAAAATGTCACATTTTTCTCCAAAATCTTGAACTGTAAATTTCTTGTATTGTGTTTCGTTCTGTGCTGGTCTCGTTGTGTTATGGTAAGCTGCACAAGAAAACGAAAGCGCGGCGGTCAGTTAGAGCCTTTCCACACTTACGCGATCTTTAGAAGGTACCCATTTTTATTAGTGGGTTTGGCCTTGGGTGCACGTTAAAACAATCAAAAATAGAGTTTATGAATTCGACCATAACCAATACGGGGGCGCAAAGCCCCTGTGCATCACCAATAATTAACAGGTTTGGATTATGCCTGGGTTTACGCTCAACCTGCCCGAAAAGTCTTCTCGCCCGAAATTTTGTCATGCTCAACAACATCCAAACATACTTTAAAACATTTATCGCGTCTGTTTCGTCTCATCAAGGCCTAAAAACAAGATATCTTCATAATGTAGCGCGCTTCTTTCGTCTCATCAAGGCATAAAGAATGGGATACATTGGTTATTTATTGCACTTGTTTCGTCTCATCATGGCTTAAAGAACGATATTAATTTCATCCACTGCTTTTTCCACTTTATTTCTCTATTGGACCCGGTAAAAATTCCGGTGACATAAGTTAACAATGAATTCCCGACGAACTTACACTCTGGTTTCTGGCGGCTTGAAGATTACATATGGCTGGTTGAAATATTTTCGCCAACAGCGTGCTACCATTGGTTACCGGATCACATGACGTGTAACAATGAAAAGGATTCCCGCCGAAGAGAAGAATTCGTTCATGTCTAGCGTGGGTACATCGCAGGTATATAGTGAGAATTTTGGAGAGCACGAGAGAAGCCGCTAAAGCCACGAGCAGCTACAAGCAAGTTAAGCTACAAAATTTGGCCGTGGTGTAGGCTACTTCTTCTCTGTGGTCCCTCTGCAACTAAGTTTACTGAGCCAACGGCAGAGGGAAAGAAGCCAGTACCGTGAATTATCATAATTTGGCTTTTTTAAACCCTTCTTTACGGCAGTCATTTGCACTGTCTTCTCGTTATGAATTATTAACGATTTCAACATTTAGTACTTAATAACTTGATCATTTAACCCTTTAAGCCCCAATATCCACATACAAATTCTCCGAACTGATCTCTATATTGAATTGAGAGAATTTGACAAAAGATCAAAGCATTTTCTCTTAGGTGATCATTTTATTAATTCTCATAACCTAGTCTTTTGACAATGTACGGATGTCATTGGGAGAAAATCGATGTTGGTCACTATCGGGACTTAAAGAGTTAAGATCCAGTAGCTAGTAAGCAAAAACTGTGAAGACGCATAGTGAGAAACAAGAAAGTACTGATCACCAACCTGACCATGAACGTCTTTGCAGTAACCACTGCTAAGCCCTCTGACATGCAGCTCCATGTGTGAATCGTAGCACAGTTGTTTCCATAGCAACAGTGAATCCTCGTCTTCTACATCACTGTCATTGTGTACTAACGTGACAAAGCAGCCATTTAACTAAGGAGGGAAAGAATAAGAAACTTATCAAAAGATAATCAACTTTGGAGTAACTCAGCAACAGATTTCGGAGTACAGATTCTTGCCCTTGGATATCATCGACCAGTCATATAACTAACGCTTCAGTTTAACTCACACGATCCCGGAAATAATCTTTGGACAAAAGCTTATACCTATTCTACCCGAAGTTTATGAATTGGCAAGATCGGGGACTGATCGTTTGGCCTACGCGTCGTTTCGCTGACATCCCGTCCGCCCAAATTCTTTTAAAAGTAGTTTCGCTTACGAATCGAAACGAGCACTGCACATGTATATACCTAAGCAATAAAACGAAAATGTCCGATACCTCGTTCTTTAAGCCATTGATAAGGCGAAAAG